CATCCAGAAGACAAGCTTATTGTTATTATCAAACGATTTGCCTTATCAAGCTTAACCTCACTATTTCACTACATTTCAAACATCTTAGGCATAATAAGGAACAGGTATTTTTCATTTGTCTTCTTTTCTTATCATATCTTATTTCCCTGAACTTCTCAAGTCCTGTGAGTACCTACTAAAAACCAGGGAACCAGCCTGTTGGAGTCAGCTGGTGCTAAGACTGAATTGTGCACAGGCCAATAATAATTAATTTTTTTTTTTTTTCTGTCTGGGAATCAAACTCAGGACCTTGCACTTGCCAAGCAGTTGCTTATGCTGCTGAATTATATCCCTGGCCCTAAAATATTTTTAAAAAGAAAAAAGTCCAAATGAGGAATTTGTTTCCCCATTGGATCCCCAGAAATGAAGCTCTAATGGATTCCTTCCAAGGGCTCCTGCTGAGGGAAAGTGGGGCAAGCCACAACAGCAGTAAGGCTACTAGAGGCACAGTAATTAAGAGAGGAAGAGCAAGTGTGGGTTGCTCTTCCTAGTGTCCATCCATCCACTCCAAAAAAAGGCCTACTTCCTTCTCTTTCTTCTCATCCATCTCAAGATACACCTGTACCTGAGTGAGGAGGTGCAGCAGAAGGATGAAGAGGCCATCATAGAATCCACAGCTACCTGGAGGAGTCAGCCGGACCTATGGGAGAGAGACAAGAATGCAGAGCCCTGAGAGGGATGAGACCTGCACCCAACTCCCAGACAGGGAAGAAAGCTCTTCCCCATCCCAACAGAGTGGGAAGAGTTGCTCTGGCATTGAAGTCTCGCTTTCTACCTATTCACTCAATGCATGTCCTAAAGACATAGTCTGGTCACATAAGCAGGCAGAGAAGAAATCATAATTAAGATGATACTTGCTAGATATGTGGTTAGGGGCATAATGGAGAGTGCCTAATACTGGAGATAGAAAACTGATGTACTATAAATTTTAAAGACAGGCTGGAAAATATTATAGTCAGAAGGGAGACCACTCCAAAAAGTCAGAACATATACAAAGGCAGGTAGGCATCAAAGACCACAGTCAATTTGGAAATGGCAACCCTGTTAGTGCAGCAGCATTACAGAGCCCATGGGCAACAGATGAGCTTTGAGTAACAGGCAGCAGAGTCTGGGCTTTTTCCCAGAAGCAGTGAATAGCCAAAGATTTTCTCCTGGAAACAGTGGAAAGCCTCTGATCATGACATAAGCGCTACATGAGCAATTTGTTTGTTTCTTTGTTTTACTTACAGCTATAGTCTTAGAACCTGGAATAGTGTTGGGCTCTAGATACATACTTATGCGTTCAATTAACACTGGTTGAGTGAATGACTGTATTTTCCTTTAAGAAAGTTTACTGTGGTGGCACTAATGAGAATAGTGGAGAGATGAGGGCAAAAAGGAGAGATGCTTACATAGATAAGCACCTAAGACCAGAAAAGGAAGTCGTGTACATAGGGTAGGGCAAGTCAGTAATGGTCCCATGGAGGAAACAGGACAGAGAAGCAACTAGAAGGCAGAATAAATAGGACCTGGGGGAAGCATTTAGAGGCAGAATAATGGGAAAGAAAAAGGGCCTCTGGTTACTCCCAAAATCTGGACATGCGTTCCTGGATAAATGTTAGTGTTATCATTAATGATACAATCACTCTAAAGGTCAACCTCATTGAAGAGAAAGAGATGAATCTTAATACATGCTGTATCTAGCTTCCATGTATGCTGTAGAATAACGTATGTGAGGGTGCTTTATAAACTATAAAGAATCTACATATATATGACAATAATGTGAATATCATGTCTATTTATCCTTTTAGAGAATGAAACACATTATGAGTTCCAAAGGGACTAAAAAGAAAAAGGGAAAGATGGAAAGGGAGAAAGCAGAAAGGAGGCTACGAAATGGACTGGGTTCCTGCAGAAGGTGCGTCATGCCGTCTCTCTCTCTTTTTTTTTTTTTTTTTTTTTTGCCTTCTCTGTCTTTATTAAGAAGAAAACATGGGAAAAGTAAAATGGACTCTGCAGTAGGAGGAGAGGAGACCAATATCAGAAAGACTTTAACTGCAAACCATGAGCTCCAGACATGGACTAAAGCAGGCAGGGAAAGCTAATACCTCAGCAAACTTTGATCAGTCTCCAGTCTCCTTTTCCCCCTGCCCACCTCTCTCCTTCAAAGCCCTGCATTAAGAAATCTGAAGTTCTGATCTGTCAGGGCTCACAGGGCCCAATATCTGGGGTTTATAGGATAGGAGAGGAAGCAGTTCTTGATCCATTTTCCATCCCCTATACTCCTCCAGGCTTGCTAGCAGTTCAGTCTTTTCCCTGGAATGCAGTTCTAGCATCTGACTTGGATAAAACATGTCTGCTCCTTCCCTGCTAGGCCTCACCTCTGCGGGGGCAGATAGGGCATGTGTGGCTGCAGCGATCCACTCCCTGGGCTGGAGGTCAAAGGCCACCCCTTGCTGACCAAGCTGTCCCAACAGACAGGCTGCAGCACTCTGTAGGGGAGGGAGGGCAGAAGGAACATCAGAAGCTGAAAGCTGCTCAGGACAGGCAGAGAAGATTTATATCTCTGAACTGGTAAAGAAAAATGCCCCCACAAACAGCTGCAAAAGGGAGAAGGACTACACCACTCCCAGAAGGAGGTGAAAGGGAAGAGAGGGAAGACTGAAAACTCACCACAAGAGAGACGATGTGTGAGTGAGTAAAGAGCGTAGCAACCTCACCGCCTAGCTTTTCCATTCTGGAATAGGGAGATACACAGAGGAATGAAGCCCATTAGAGGAGGCCAGTAAGTGGCCTTCCTCCTCCCTTGTGCTTTGCTCTTCACCTAGGCTATACATCCATCTCTAAGGCTCCAAGCTGATGCAAATCCAAGTCTTGTTCTTTATACAGAAACCTTTACTTTCTACTCCTAGTTCCTCCTAAGCAGAGCCTAAAGAGTGCTACTCCCCAGGGTGTCCAGGGAGGCTATGTGGGAGAACCTTTAGTGGGGAGACCTGACTTATGACTCACCTGGAAGGTAGATCTTGAAGCCAAAAGACAAGGAGAGAGAGGAGGTAGAGTGCCACTTCAGTGGACTCTTCCCAATCCACCACTTTCACCTACAAAGGAACTGAGATATCAGAACAACCTCTGGCTAAGATGGTAGGACTGCCACGAGGTGCCTACCTGTGTTGCTGGCCTACCTTGCCCTGGACCAGCATTAACAATGACTCCAAAGCCAAGGGCTCTTGCCCTAGAAGACGGCATAGGTGCTCGCTGACACGGCAGCAAGAGTAAAGAACCTAGAGGAGCAGGAAGGAGTCTGTCAAGGGCAAAGCAGCCCCAGGCTCTAGGATAGGAAGGCTCTGCTGAAAAGCAGGTGAGTCACTCAGTGGAGCTGGCTCCCACCCTTGGTGGTGTGAGGGACTCCTGCCTCTTATCTGAGATAAAGATGAAGGAACATTTCTTGGGCTGTGAATTATCTCAGCAATCTAAAGAGCCTGCATAGGCAAGCTTAGGCAAGTATACAGGGACCACAGTTTGATCCCCGGGAACACAAACTGCACCAGCCCTGTCCCCAGTGTGGGCTGAGCCAGCCACGAGAAAAAAAAAAGAAAAGAAAGAAAGAAACATTCCTTAGTTCTGGGGAAGACTGGATCACATGGAGTCACCTGAGTTGATCAGATTTAGAAGGAGACTAGAGTCCTCCAAGGGATTCTCTTTCTCTCTGTCTGTCTCTGTTTCTCTCTCTCTCTCTCTCTCTCTCTCTCTTTTTTTTTTTTTTTTTTGAAGACAGGGTCTTGCTATATAGTTCAGGCTGGCCTCAAACTCATGGAGATCCACCTTTCTCAGCCTCCCAAGCACTGGAATTATAGGTATGTGCCGTGACACATGGCTATCCAAGGAATTCTTAAATTCCTGTGTCTGTCTGTCTCTCTATCCTAGGAGTTTAAGAAAATTAAAAAAGAAAACACAAAAGAACCGAACAGAAGAGAATGAAAAATCAAGCCAGTCAGCCAAGATTCTGGAAGCTGCAGGAAGTACCTTAAGAAGGTGTAGACATAAGAGCGGATGTCGCAGGCCCGAGATGAGGGACAGCCTGAGCTGGCTGCAGTCTTCAGTCAGCTCATTTGCCAGATGACGAGAGACCTAGTGAGACAAACTTGAGATTTGATCTGATCCTTCTTATTCCAAACCTATTATTCACACAACTCCCAGTGACCAGGATTCTCAATCCCTTGCTGGTTTCTCTTCTCAGTGTCATCAGAACTGCACACTTCATTCTATTTTCCAATCTTCATAGCCAATGAAGAAGTGAAAGTCAGGGCTCAGTTAGGCCCTGTATGTGCAGATATTAGGGGAAACATTACTGAGCCCTTCCTATCAGCTGTCCCACCACCTAGGTGGTTTATCATTAAGCCCGTTCCCTCACCAGCTGGCCACAGGCTCTGAGATTCTGGCTATATCATACTGTATAAGTGGCCCAGTCCCAAAGTGACAGCATCTTATGTCTGGAGGTCCTGTGCAAGAAGCATTTGTTTTTCTATCCCTGAGAAACTGAGGCCTCTCTAGCTCCCCTGGGGAGCAGGAAAAGAAGAGTAACAGGCCACAGCTCAGACCTGCTCCTTGGCACCCCAGCAGCTGGGCAGTCCCACAGGAGCAGTGCATATGGCTGCCAAGGCACAGGAAACGGCTCCAGGCAGATCCTCATTCTGCTCCTGCAGCAGCTGGTTAGTGTGTGGGACTCCTATGGAGAAAGGCAGAGAATGCAAGTGAGGCCTGCACTTCAGGTCTCCATTCCATCCTTTAGTTCAGTGATTTACTGAGTACTCACTATAGGCCAGGCACTATTTTAGGTGATAGCAACAAGAACAGAGTAGGACCCACACAACAAAGTCAAGAGAACCTCCTCTCCCCACTCTGTCACCTGGAGGTGTGTGGAAGGGGAACCATGGAGCTGACAGGCCACAAAGGAGCCCATCCAACACTGCACGCTGTGTGGTCAACAGGTTGGAGTAAAAGGCTTTGGAGATGGCCTGGCTGTTTCCATCCATGGCTTCACAAAGAACAACAAAGCACTAAAGAAAACAAAAGCAGAGGCAGCATCAGGGCATCAGAAGACTGACTTGAATTAAGAACCAAGAATATCCTGAGAAGCTCAGAATAGAGCATTCTGGGCACAGTGGTGTACATTTGTGACCTCAGGTACTTGGGGGGCTGAGGTGGGAGGCCCTGATCAGAGGCCAGCTGAGTAACTTAGTAAGATCTTGTCTTAAAATAAAAAAGACTGTGGATATAGTTCAGTGGTAACGTATTTCCCTAGCTGAATGAGGGCCCAAGATCAATCCCCAGGGCAGAGGAGGAAGAGAAGAAAATGGAACATTTAATTCTAAACATTGCTTTGCACAAACCAAAATGAATACTGTATTGCCTTCATGTTTGAAGACAAGAATTTCAGTGACAACCTTTTTTGTCCTTTTTTCTTCCTCCTGCCTCATCCATCTCCTCCTCTTCCTCCTTTTACCTTTTCTCTCCCCTCCTCTCCCTTTCTCCCCTCCACCACCCAACCCCAGGATCAAGCCCAGGGCCTTGTACATGCTATGCACATGCTATAGCACTGAGCAACGTGTGTTGCTGACAGTGTTCCTGTCCTCTTGATCAAATCCTCCCTAGATGATGTTTCTCAAAATGTGATCTGTGGACCATAAATATAAGAATTCGTAGAGATTCCTGGGATCCCCGAACCCAATTCTCCTGATTTAGAATTTCAGGGAAAAGGTAATTATTCCAAACTCCTCATGCTCCTACTCAACATAGAATGACTCAAGAAGTGCAGGCCATAACATGATAACTGCTGATTTTGGTTATACATTCAAGGCTTCCTGACTTGAAAGAATAAAGAACATGAAATTAGGATCACAGACTAAAAATAGCTAGAGGAAGGAATGTTACCCCAATCTCTGCTCTCAATTACTCTCTGCACAGTGACTAAGCAATTGTTTACTTCCTTGCACATATTTCTCTCTAACTGGCTCTTCTGAGAGCTGGCAGAACTCAACTGTTTTCTCATTCACTCCTCCATTGTGCTGTCCTCATTTCCAGGGTCTAGGAAGTGAATCTACACAGTTAACTAGTCATGGGACAAACAAGGTTGAAAAATGCTACATGATCTGTAGGAGTCAAGAAAAAATATTTCTACTTGTGTTCCTCAACAATATGCTGAATTGCTTAATGCCTGTGGGCCTGTAGATATGCTGCTCTTTCTAGAATGCTCTGTCTGGAATGTCCTTCCTACTTTCCTGCCTCCTCCAGCTGGCAAATTGTTATGTGTTCTTCAAATCCTAGCAAATATGATTTTCTTCTTAAAGATTTCTTCCATGACCTCCAAATAGGGGTTAATGGAATCTTCTTCAGTGCTCATGTTCTATTTTTCTCGAGACAGGATGTCACTATGTAGTCTAAGGTGGCCTTGAACTCACTAAGTAGCCCAGGCTTGCCTCAAGCTCATGGCAATCTTACTGTCTCAACCTCCAGAGTGCTGGGATTATAGGCATGTGCACCATACCCAGCCCTCCTGTACTTTCCACTCTCCTCCACTTGACCATCCCTGGTCCCTTGAAGATGAGGACTTTCTCTTACTGACATGGCATATGGCACACAGTGGGAATTCAAAAATGTTTGCTGTATGAATTTGATCTGACCCTTTATAGTCATAAGAAAGTGATGGGAGAACACAGAAAAATATAGCAAAGATAGCAATTGGGAGGTGGGACCCGCGGAGATAGTTCAGTGGCATAAGTACCTGCCTGTCAAGTAGAAGGTCCTGAGTTTAATCCCTGATATCAGAGAGAGAGACAGACAGAAAGAGACAGAGAGAAAGAGACAGAGAGAGAGAGAGAGAGAGAGAGAGAGAGAGAGAGAGAGAGAGAGAGA